AGAGTTGGGAATGATTGCGGCAAATGATTAAAACAACATTTGTAAATAATTTATCAAAGTACAAATAAAATGGGCAGCAAGAACAAAAAAACATTGTGTAAACTAACCAGTAAAAAAAACACGCAAAATACCAGCAATCGACTGGATCTGATGGAATGAGTTTTTTGTGTGCGGTGGTTGTTTAAGGGTGATTGGATGACGGTTGTCGACTTTTCAATTGCAGACATACGCACATTTGAAATTAAAACAAAACGCCACAGCGGAATCATTAATAAAACCAACTGTCAGAATCTAAATCTAAATCTAAGAGAAACCCTCCCCCATCTAAAAATAAAATCACAACCGATGCGCACTGCTTCGCCACCATCGTTACGGTGCAATTTTTTTCTCATTCGGACATTACATTTATTCAAGAGAGGGAGAGTAAGAGCGAAAAAAACCACATCTCCATGTAATTACATTCATTCATATTCGTAGAAGCCAGTGGAGGAAAAAACCCGTGTACACCCATTATTAAATCGAATTTATTATATTATTCTTTTGTTCTCTCCTGCAAAAAATCCGTGCAAAAACGAAAATTAAAACACGAGCGCACAAAGTGGCAGCGAAAAAAGCATACACACACAATTTGTTAAGTTATTACGTGTGTAATTTATAATGTGAATGTTTGGCTCGTTTCTTGGCTCATCCATGTAATTTCCCTGGTTGATCCATATTAATTCCGTTGATCGTGGTTTTAACGGGAATATTAAAATCTTCATTCGCTCTTTCATGCTACGAAAACATCTTTGTTATGGACGCATTTGCACGGTTTTCACTTTTCTTTCAGCTTGAATAGAGCAAATGGATCATCGCACGTGCGCGAAAAGCGATGTTCCCATTTTGGTAGTATCAACGAATGATGGCTTAAACCCACCGAAATCATTGCGAGTGGAGCGAAACGAGAGAGGAGAAGAACCAGAAAAAAAGGAAACAACAAAAAAAAATTGTGGCAATGATGAATAATCGAGGGGAGGCGAAAGAAATGGGACACATTGATCCAGAACAGATGAACTCCACATTAAACAATGCGATTGGATAAGCGATGAATTTAGCACCTGCTCGAAATTATTGCGATTTTTTAAGTATGTCTTCATTCAGTCGCTGGTTGCGTTGGTTCGTTAGCTTTTGTCTGCCTCCCTCCATCCACCATTTGGTATTATTTTCCCTTCTTCTTTCCAACCATAAATTATTACTGATGATATTCCACAGATGACAGCATGTCGCTGCCGTGGCATCATCATCAATTTTCATGCATTACGACCCAGTCGAAATGACTTTCCATAATGAATTTTCCTTCCGATCCAACACAGCGCATAGCGCGCACACCGCACATTTTCATTCGATAAGAACTAATCCGATAAATACGATGAGAAAGAGAAGAAAACAACCAAAATAATTGAAATTAAACACACAGCCAAATGTGGGAATGGGAAAAAACGAAACAAACCGAGGTTTTGCATTAAATCTATGGGATTAATAACGCGTTCATCATTCCCATCGAGAATTTATGCAATTTACAAAACGCTAGAGTCAAAGCCAATTGCAAAACTCGAGATTGCATGCCTTTTCAGAAAATCGAACAAACTTTATTGCCACTACTACGACACACAAGCAGAGCTCTACTTTACTCACTAGTGAGTGCATCGGTCGAAGAGGAAGTGCAAAAAGTGATCTTGATTATTAGCTTCCTGGCAATATCGAAATGGCACACAAATAATTCACCATTTTTTCGCTTACGTTTTTTTTATTACTACAAGCAGTTGAATAACTTTACTCTTTATATCCTCACTGTCTGCATCATACATATAGTTAATCTTATGCGCATAAAAAACGGCGATTAAATTTTATCTTCATTTTGCGGTGATAGAAAAAGAAAGTGTCGCAGTCTCCATATAGCCGCATATGCCAACTTCATTCATATTTTATACACTCAAAAAATGACGCTTTAACACATGTGTGCAAAAATATTCCCCATAATTGCCATGAATTATCACCCGAACACACACACACACACGAAGCGAATAAGCGATAGAAATATGGATCTGAATATTGTGATCTCATGCCATAATTTCTGCGCTAGATAAAAGCGATATTGCACTTCTGTCATCTATTTAAAATGCAAATGAAGTTCATTTATATTTCAGTTAAACTTCTGTGAATTTTTCAATCTGCCGATGGCTTCATTTCACAGTATTCATTTAAATATATCTCATTCGCTCTGTGATAAGACACAATGCTAGTAGATAAGGTTATTTTTTTGTCAACGTCAAATTATTCCGACTGCTCTACTCAAAATAGCTCTTCGTCTGTTCTGAAATTGCATAAATTCCATTCGTCGAAACAGATTTATAAATATACACGGTGGAATCGTGGCAAAAAAATCTCTTCCGACTGGCAAAAAGTGAAAAATAAGAAATCATCTCCGCTTCCGACTTCATTCCAAATGATTTATTAACTTAAACTCATTGCACCAGCGGAGCACTCACTTTTGACCTGGCACACTTACGCGATGTTGCTTCTTTTTTTTTGTTCGCCGTGGTATCTCCAGGCGAAGGAAGGAAAAATAGAAATACAGAAATACATGTGTTTAGAGTGTGCTTTTTTTCGTTCATTTCTCAATTTTGACAATACACGAAATACTTGTACGAACAACGAGTTTTGCGAATTAATTCTCCGTGTGTGAAATCCAGTAGGCGAATGAATGTTAATTTAAAGTTTTAACTTGTCTCCAAATTTACATAATAATTATGTTTTGATTTGAATTAGAACTACGCTGAAAGGTTTGAAAACACATTTCTGACGACATTGTACCAAAATGGCTTCTTCATCTCTTATTCCATTTTAGAAGCTTCATTTCTTGAATCAACTTGATCCTCATTCAAATTGAAATCATAAAGACTCAACCTCATCTATCGCTTGGAATTGGTTTTAGTAAACCATTTTACATCAAACATGGTTCTATCTATAAAAAAAAATTTGGGCTCGCTTTCGATCTGCCTCTATTAGCCACAAAATAATGTACGAAATGAATTTAATTGTGATTTATGTTGCAATCTGATTGTTTCTCACATTCGTTTTACTTAATTTCAAATGTAACTGCCGCATATATTACTGGCAAATGTGCACGATGAATCACTTTACCGAAATCGGAAATGATAATTTATAGTCGATTTCGGAAGCACAATGGCAAATAATAAGGTGATAACTCAATTAACCACGTATAAAATAGCTTTGTCGAAATGGTGTCGGTTATTTCGAAATGTGAGACTACATAATGCTTTGGCTTTCATTCAACGGTCCGTTATTATTGGCATGTGAAATATGCAACAAATCATCATCACATGTGATGATAGTGCTTAAGTTTGTTATGTTTTTGATTAAGATATTAATTTTTCACTTCATTCACGCTCTCAATATTCAAGACGCCATTATCGAAGTCGTTTTATGGTTTTCGATACGACACAAGAAGTGGTATTTTACACAGTACTCGATGGTGGTTGATAAGCCGAAACGCTCTCCAAATAACAACAACAACAAAAAAACTAATAGAAAAAGAAAAACAATTCGAATGAACAAGCGAATGTTTTATCGTTTTCAATAAAGCAATCGCGAAACGAGAAAACTCGTCCATAAATAAAAATTTCGTTTTGTTTCCGTTATTTTGTACTTGTGGCGGTGGTTGTTGCAGCTAGTTTTTTGTCGAGTTTGTGCTAAGTTTTGTGCCGGGGAGCTTTATAATAACAATCGAATGGAGTAATAAAAGCGAAACGCTTCGGTATGTGACCCCGGTTGCAGTTGGTTGTTCTACTCAACACAGACGATATGCGCGCCTTTCGAAAGAGCGAGCGAGTCATGCTACAATTTTATAGCGCATTTTTTTGTCCTCCGTTGATTTTATATCGCCATTGTTTAGTTTTCAACATCTTTGCAACGATGACTCTCTCTTTTCTCTTGCCTTGTTCCGAGGATAAGATCCCAAATATGGTGGCCATTTCATGCAATGTTTATCTCTCTTGTGATACAAAAGATTCTTTAACCATTTTTTTTGGTCGATGTTGTAGCCATCCGCCACTCTCATTACATGCAGCCGTATTGTACTGTGTGTGTGTGTGTGGCATCGCTTTTTGCTGATTTTCATTCATTGTTTATGTTTTAAGTAGTAAATTTCAATGCGAAAAAGGCATGCAGTTTAGATAAAGAGATACATTAGTATAAAATGTAAAGCGATTTTTCGGATACCGCGTGCAATGCAAACCAGAGAGAGGGAGAGAGAGAGAGAGAGAAAAGGTGAAAATAATGCATCGCTCTCGAGTACATTCAAAAATATTTTATATAAATGGCCACTTCCGAAAACGAGGATAAGGAACACATTCCATACTCAATGTGTACCCCCGGTGTATAACACGGCAAAAGACAAGCAATAGTTAAAAATGCTTTCACAGACATCATTAACGGGCCATGAAATATAAATTCAAATGCTTTCAACTATTTTTCTTGCGCTTTTTTCACTCTCTCCACTCGACTCTTGCATGAGGAAATGACCTTTTGTACAGAGAGAAGATTTTTATCTGTGTTTTTTTTCGTTTATTTGGAAGAAGAAGGAGAAAAGGGAAGTGGAGGAAGAAGAAGATGAGTAAGAGGAAAATTCGCTCAAAAGGAGAGAAATTCCACCTCTTTTATTTTGTTAATGAGAAGCACGTAATTTGAAGCATGTCTTTAGAACATTTTTCTGTGTTGCTCATTCATTTTCATGTTTAATTCTTTCTTCGTAAAGAATGAAAGATTTTTTCAGATTTTAAACGCAATACAAGGGGAATATATATGAATTCGTTGGTGTATCTAGCTTATACGGTATAAGAGAGATGTATCAAAAACTGCACACAACTCAAAATACCAAATCTAAATTGCAAATGACAAACGATACAACTTTAAAATCCATTTTTGATTTTCCATTTCAGATTCCTGTTTGACGACGAGAGGAAATTTATGTACTGAATAATACTAAAGCGTCAACCGAAATATCTCTTGCTACATTGCCACACGTCATCCAATTTGGATTGGGTAAGTACTGGACACTAAATTTAAATTGAAAAGAAACAACTGTTGTCATGTCGACGAATTTTCAAAATAACGAATATACGATCATATAATGCTCCAAATTCAACAAAAATACAGAAAAAATCTCAGATACCAATCGGTAAAATAAGGGCAATAATGTATTTTTCAATAGGAATAAATGGATTTTAGAACACATACATGTTTACAATTATAATTGTCAATCGACAATTCGGAAACTCATTGTGAATGTTCGTAGAATTAAGCAAAATTACTGCTATATTAGCATGGTTTATCAATATGGTTAGTAGGAAATTACAATTTACAAAGATCTCAAATTTTATGACGGAAAATTCTTTTTTCAGCATCGCCAAATTTACTCTTATATGCAGAATGTTGATATTGCAGAAAAAAATAAAGCAACTTTCCCTATGCATTTATGCATTTTATTCCTTTTGTGAATTTCTTTGAGTGTAATTTTTGTTCCAGGTATTTTTCAACGTGTCAAAAGAATGCGTTAAGATTGTGATTTGTAATTCAGAGAACAGAGTATTTAAACTTCGAAGAATTCTTTTTTCTGAAACACTTTCGTACGATAAAAGAACTAACTTTTTCTCCGTATTGAAAAAGCAGTTACAACAGCAACACAGTATTTCCCACTCAAACCAACTTTAACAGGCATTCCTTCTTTTTGCTGGCATTCCTTTTTTCATTGGCATTTACGCCGGGTATCAATGACATGCTTGTGCAATCGTATCACGTGTGACGTACTCATTGAATTGAGCTGTATGCTTATTTAGTTTTTGATATAAATAATTTTTGAATGGTTTTTGTGGAAAACCTTAGATACTAATTTTCAATGTGCTGTTTCCACCACCAACATCATAATCATCATCATCACCACCGAGGAACTTTTAACGTTGCAACCCATTGAAATGCTTATGCAATGTTGTCGGCTGATGCCGTATTCCTTGCATATGCTCTCTTCAATGCCGGAAGAAAGTAATTGAAAAATGAAGTAAGTGTTCAAAGAATTGTAAATAATTTGAAATGAAACGACTTGAGCGATTTTCTTCATCGACATCAACATGAATGCGAAGGCAAATGACGGAAGAGGCAGTGCGAAAAGAAACCGGTAGAGAGAAAAAAAAAATTCAACGAGGCAAAAGTGAATTGCAAGAAACTGTTCAACTGCATCAGTAAATTGAATGCAAACAGAGAAAAAAAGCGGAAAATGAGGAAGAAGTAAGTTTTTCGAGTAGAAAAGGGAGAGAGAGAGAGAGAGCAAATGCCGTGGACTGATGCTGTGTTGCGTGCAAGCATAAGTAAGACGATGGATTTAAGTCGAATCAATGGGCGAAATGTATAAAGACGCGCAAGCGCGCTTGATAATTATGACGATTTGTGTGCAAACACACAAAGCTATTAAATAACATCTCAATCGTCGTGTTGTGCACGAAAAGAATATCCATAAGAAACCAAACGCCGATTATGATCGTCATCAACGTCAGCAACATCATCATCATCATCATCATCATTACTGAACGTGGAGCGTACGCTATATTTGTTGTTGTCGTTGTCAAGAGAGGTGTATTTATGTTGATGTCGTGCCTACGATTCGCATGAAAAACTGCACCCGCCAAAAGACGAATGAATACATTTTATTCATGGCATGAATGACATTTCCATCCATTTTACACGGTAAAATGACGGACGTGGTTCAATGAATGGAACACGTGACAAAAAATCACAAACATTTTTTGAGCTATGTTTGCTCCGCCACCACCACCACCAGCGTCAACGATGGAACGAAACAACAACAAAAAACTTCAACACAGAAATAGCGAGCGTCGTCGATAGTAGTAGAGAAGTTTAGTTGAGAGTATTGTTTGTTTCAGATGAAATGACGCATCAAGAAAATTGTTTGTTTATTCCGTTCGTTCGCCCCTTGTTTCTTGACTTTTGTCGATGATGACAAAAGAATGTCGGCAACAAAAGGAGAAGAGTTTTTCCAAATAAAAATGGAAACAAGTTTCTCTTCATTCTCAAATGAATGAACAGGTGGAGTAACGAGATGGCAGATGTAAAATCGTGCGAAATATTATGGTTTTGGGAAGAAAAAAAATAACGCTCGTTTTGAAATGTGCTAAAATGTGTCGATGTCTCACGTCTTTGACACCTATTATCATTGCCGAACGTAGATATCTCTCTCACAGACACACACGTTCCATATCTCTTTTGTTGTCGAATTCATATGTCTGTATACCGACTCAGTATGTTCTGTTCATTCACATCGATTTGGAAATTTGATGCTGATAACGCATCGTCGAATCAGTCTTTTGTGAATGTTTATCGCCAAATCATGCACAATCAACACTTGGACGACTTTTGGAATTTATATGCAGATAATATCAAAATGGATTACTATTTATATACGTTTTTCGTACTCTCTCTCTCTCTCTCTCTCTCTCTCTCTCTCTCTCTCTCTCTCTCGGTGCAAGTGGAATTTCCGTCAACTCATACTATTTTATATCGTTTTTTTATTTCTTTGACTCCGTTTGATTGAGACAGAAGACGCGGGTTGGGTGGTTTAAAACGGCATTAGTTAATGGCATGAGCATGAAGCGACAAGGCATACAAAAGTCGCAAATAATTTCTTCGATCTTTTTAATGGAACAGCGAGTCGTTGTGCGCGCTCCACGAATGAATAATGAGCACATTTATTTCAAATATGGCGCAAAAACATACATAGCGCTATCGTTCCCTCTCTCTTTTCCTCGCTCGCTTGCTCTTTCTCTCTCTCTCTCTCTCTCACTTGCTCAATCCGCCACGATTTACTACCCAAGCGATGGTTATTGGCTTAAATGTCTGCAAATGGCGACAATTCTTTTACACAACGCGAATGAAGAAAAAAAAAACACTTTTCGTACGACAATGTTGACAATGTGCTTTTTTTCTTTCGGCTCAAATTTAAATCACTGATGAAGACCAGATTACGGCTATAAAAGGTTTTTTATTCGTTCGTTTTGCAAACATTTGCGTTGCTCGTTTTCATTTCATAAATTACACATTTGATGCACTTTTGATTTGGCGATGTATTACGGTGTCTGTTTTCTCTCTCTCTCTCTCTCTCTCTCTCTCTATGAAGGTGGCCAATGGAAGGGATCACCGAAAAACTTTGAGCCAAAAAAAAATGCGTCATACGGCCATTTGAATATGAATGGGTGGCATGGCCTTGAATAGCTTAAGCTTAAAACACTTGTCTGCGAATAATCGTGTCGCACTCTGACATTCAATCGATGTTGTCTCGATGTTGGTGGCGAACAGTGTATCAATTTGTTACAGCCCAATAAAATAATAATCAGATGTCAATGTCAGTTCGTAACGCATGAGACTCTCAATTAACATCGGTGTCGATTCAATAAAATTAGCCGCACAACCGCAACGGGACACGAATCGAATTTCTTGTTTTTCGTTTTACCACGCTTGTTGATTGTTTTGTACAGTTGGGGCTGCCGGCGGGAGAATTCAATGTGACAGTGACAAAAAAAGCCGTGCAATGACAGACGCAACGTCAACGAGCCCCATTCACTCACACACACCCACTTTCCTTTTCTTTTGGCACTGCAATGACGCAAACACATATTGCGTCGAAAGTTACGATTCGAAAACAGCATAGAGCCGTTCGGCAACATTTCTATATCACTAGGCAAACATAATTCAAACGAAGAGCATTGTCAAATACTCACATATTCCAAAAACTCAAACACGGAATCGAAAAATATGATTCAAAGCACAAAGCGATATTTCACTTAAATAAATCGTCATAAAATTACAATTTCCTGTTCGGCGGATCCTTTTCAGCATGAGAAATCTTCATTCATAACCATCGCAATCTATCTTGAGATTCGTCAAAGAATACGATATTTGATTGGAGTTTGAATATTGAATGAAGTGAATATGTTGCGCGGCATCGCGCATACGTATGCAACGAGTGAAATGCACAAGACGAGGATCTATATCCAAATAAAGAGAGCATCCAACAAAGTTTTGCCAAGTAAATATACGCTCTGAGCAAATATAATTCGCAGCGAGCAAGAGTGGAAGCGGGAGTGAGTTCAATGTTCATTGAAAAAAAAGAACTTTGCCGAATGTATGTTAGCAAACGAAGAAAAATCATTAAATGTAAGCTTGCTTTTAAAACTCCGTGGGTCCCATTTCACGAAAAATGAATGCATTGCTGCTCTCATATATTATTTATCCGGTTTTGTGTATCGGGACGTCGTTGTGTGTGTATACTATGTTATTATCGATGCTGGTGACCTATTCGGCTGGCGAAATGCGAATAACGGCGACCGATTGAATGGTGCAATTTGCAACTTGAATATTAATCCAATTTGCTCGTTTTTAATGTTTGAATCGAAACAGCGGCATCGTGTCCGAATTCGCATTCGGTTTTACGATTGCCGGTTGAGTTTTTTTTAATGGCACTTTCACCTCATCATTGCTCTTGTGCTAGTGGCAATGCTGCACTGGAAATCGCCGTCGCCATCGTCGGCGGCAGTGCATTGCAAAATCCGAATTAAAGTATGAAACAATGAAAATCAATGGATGGTAACGCTTCGCGCAATTTTCACTCCCAATAGATTCATTCGACCCATTCTCAGTGACACCTCATTCAAAATGTATGATTGAATCGCGCGCGCTGAATAGACAAATGCGGGAAGCTTTTAGATTCTCTTTTGCTCTCATACTCTTTTCTTCTTTTGCTCTTTTGCTCTCTTCCGCACTCTCCCACCATCGACACCATCATCAATTTGTCGCCAACAATGCACAATTTGCCACCTTTTCCTCTACACCCGATACCATCTTCTCGGTAAATAATAATCAACTTTACTTATTTGTTGGATTGCTGGTATCATTCGTTTGTTCTTTCTTTCGTCTCTGATGCAGTTTTTTGTTCCTGTTCCCCGCCGAACTTTTAAATTGGGTATCGAACTTTTCAC